TGCTGCATAAACTAAAAAGTGAAGATCTGCTAGTTCTGGACCCACTATGCCTCTCTTCTGAAAAACTTAACAGCTATGCTATAAAATATATATATTCTGACTCATGGCTTAGATGTTACACACACATGCACTAAGTCTCTTAGATTATATATTTTATATACATGAAGTATTACAGACACACACGTACATGCACTAAGTCTCTTAGAGTATATATTTAATTAAAATATTACAGGGGAGAAGAGCACACACCAACTGCAGAGACTTCCTCAGCCTGATGAAGGGTTTTTAAACCGGAAAGCATGCTAAATTTTTTTTTCCAACTATTTAAGTAGGTCTAATAAAAGATATCAGATTCACCCAAAGAACCTTGTCAGCTGTTAAAATATTACATACACACTAAGCTTCTTAGATACTTTCTGCCAAACCAAAGGGTTAATTATTCAGTTAGAGACCTTAAGTTTCCCCTTATTTTTTTTTACCAAGGGGACTGGTCTCAAACAGAACAGGATCTGATTCACAAAAGCATGACTAATGCTTCAGAAACTAAGCCATTTTCTATCCTAATTTTCTGCACACAATTCCAAAATGTGCTGAGTAGTTTGGAACGGATACAAAACTTTACACCGCAGGTTTTAAATCAATCTAGAACCACTAGGGATTAAGGATGAATCATTTAGGGGTTACTCAAGGGGACAGATTTTATCCTACATCTGCCTACTCGGGTGTTTTTTATTTTCTTCTTTTTTTTGGATCCGCATACAAGAAACAGCTGCTCCTAGCTACTGAAGCCCACAATCGAAGGGATCACTGGTCTGGTTCAATGTTGCATTTCTATGCACCAAACAAGAACATAACCCGTTCTTGTACACCTTACGTCTTTATTACTGCTGTTAACTTGGGAAGAGAATTCTGTCATTTTTAAACCCTGAATTATGTGTGAAAAGAACACATTTCAACGTGCACAGTGAAAGAAATTTGACTCAAATGCATTTAAATCCACTCTGGCATAACATTTACATGCACGTTTACCCAGCTCAGTTAAACTTTTGCCTGTTAGTTTCCCTCTAATTTGTCAGACTCAACACAGCTATAAATACTTATAATACTGTCAGAGGAGGGTGGGGCAGGGTTGAAGGGGTGCAGAATTCTCCTTGTTATTTGCTGCACTATTATTTTCCCTCTACTAAATGCTATGCTCTTTTTGAAGGGAATTCAGGGGGTGGCGGGGAATCAACATCATATGCTTTTCGGTTTGCTTTACCCACTAATAAATCTATTATTATTGACCAGAGTATCCAATGAGATGGGTGACAGTAGCTCACTGCCAGTTCAACTGACATAAACACACTGCACCCATATAGTAATATCTGCTTTTACAAAATTATACTTTCCACAACCCTTCCTCATGAAAGAGTACGCCGTTACAGGACCTTTCAAAAGCATTTCTCAAGACCTACATCAGGCAATGCGATTAAGTTTATGCTCTGGAGCTTCAGGTACTAAAACACAAGCCAACCTCAAGCATCAATTCTACTCTCAACATGGGCCAAAGAAGCTGTAGTCCTAACATTTTAATTTTCCTAAAAGCAATGAGGAGGGGGAAATTTAGCTCTTAAACTGAACATAGGATCTCTTTGCCTTCTATCAATTTGGGAACTAAAAACAACAACACGTTGCATTCATGCTCTGGTTTCTTACTGAACTTGAACACCCTACAAGAATCAAGGACAACTCTTTAATCCTCTCCTAATCATGCATATGTAATTAACTTATTTTACCCCTGTGCTGACTGAGTTTCAGTGCTATGACCCACCTCTGGAAGCTGTGGATCGGTTTATTAAGCACTTCTGGAACTTCACAGATAAAAGCTCACATCCAATATGGACTTCTTCCTTGCCTAACAAGGAAAGCTGACAAACTACCAAGCATCTGTCTTTCTGAAATGTCTCAACAGCTCTGCATTAACTTAATCGTTGTCTGAAACCTTTCCATCACCACCCACAAGACGCATCAACTCCAGCTAGAAGAGCATTCACAAGAGCATTTCCCCCAGCTACAGACGTTGGGAATGTCATGTACAGTCGAAATGTTAAGGGTCGCAGTTTATTTTCTAGCTTTTTTTTCTGGTCACAAAGCTTCCAGAAGTGCCTAAGAGGGAAACCAAAGGGTCATTCTTCAAGTCACAATATTCTGGGCCACCGCCTCTTATAAATACCACATTGGCACCCGCAGGGGACCAGAAATACCCCAGTTCATGCACTCTTGGGCCTGAGGGACGCGGGAATGGTTTGAAGCATCCACGTCCCAGCCCGCAGGGCACGGCCCACACTCCGCCTGCCAGCCACAGAGCGAACCACGCCGAAGCTGGGCTGTATCTGGGGACCCTGAAGAAGCCGAGCAGCCGCAGGCTTGGGGATTCCCAACTAAACTTGGGAAGATGCAAAATAAGAGCATCTGATGAAGCGAGCCCGGGCAGGTCCACAAGGGGCACCTCTGCTTTGTACCCGACTTCGCCTCCCCTCAGCCTGCCCCTCGTGCTATTTCCCTCCCCAGGGAGGTGGCAAGGGCTGCACCGCTCCTTTGGGACTGAACGGCATGCCCTGTCATGAACACCGGCGGAGGCGGCAGGGGACTAGGGGCACAGCGCCTCCGGAGCCAGGCGGGTAAGAGAGGAGCAGCCACGCCCGCTCCGCACGGGGCTGTGAACGGTGGCAACTTTTCCAAGCCCCTGGAGCAGGTGCAAAGCGTCGGCCCCCGCTTCCCCCTGCCTCAGACTCCTCTCCGGACAAGGGCCCGCCAAGCCTGCCTCCTCGGCCTCGGCCTCGGCCTCGGCCTGGCTCGCGGGGCCGGGCGCGCTCACCGTGTCCGCAGGCGCCGCGCTGGATGAGGATGACGGGCGGCTGGCGG